ATTCTAAAAGTTTATTGACTTGGTGTTCGTGCATCCTAAACTTGAGTACTGCATACAAGCATTTAGCCTCTTCTTAGAAAAAACAGTGAGCTTTTGTAAAAGGTTCAGAGAACAACAACTGAGCAGATTCCCGTAATGGCGAAGCTCCCGTATGATGCTGGACTGGCTAAACAAAACCTATTCCCATTGTCATAATAAAGAAACAGAGGTGACTTGATCACAGTTTTTAAAATTCTTAGCAATGAGCTTGCACCTGATATACCCGCATTTTTATCGTCTTCGTAAACAGAGAATTTACGAGGACACTCTGAAATGGTTCGCGGTCTCAGAACAAACTAATTTTCATCTGGCCATCGAATTCTCCATCGAATCATCAACGAGTGGAATTCACTACTTCAGCACATGATTGCAGCTCCATCTGTCGACTCTTCCGAAATATAGTTGGATCACCTGAAAGTGCATACTTGACAGGACTAAGATAGGTCACTTAGCCTATTGCCATTTCAAAACTGACACGCTAGTTTCAAAAAGGGCAGTGATTTTTGTACTTGTTGTGATTATACTTGCTTTGGGTACTTATTACACTAGAAAGCATCCTTGGTCTACTTTAACTAAGAGTACTTTGGTTAAAGTTTGAAATTTTTTGCCAAATTTTGTCCTGAGTACCTGTTTTTAGTACTTGACTAACACTCGTGTTCACATTGTGATCATTTTTTGTTTTTAAACCTTTTAAATCAAATTACAATGGTTGGTAAGACTCACAAATGTGGGCAACCAAATTGTTTGTTCTCCGTTGAGGAGGGAATGCATTGTGACGATTGTAAAAAGTGGTACCACAAAATGTGTACACGACTAAGTCCGATGGGTTACAAAAGATGCTCGAAACCTAACTCGCATTGGCTTTGTATGTTCTGCTGTACGGATAAAAAGGTACTAATACAGGAGTCTATGGGCCTATTGGCTTTGGCCTGCAAGAAAAACGATGGCGGAAGCACTGATAACAGGAGCACTGACGATAAAGAATGTGTCAGTGTAGTAAGTGCTGCTACTGGACCCGTTAAACACCTGACTGTGGTTGACGGGAACGTGAAATCACCGTTGACATTAACGAGGAATGAAGTGTCGCTTGATATTGACATCGGCAGTCATACACCTCTAGTCGAAATAGAAGATCCGTTCCACATAGTCCAGGTGTGGCTGTTCTGAGTGGCGACAAATGGACTCCGGTAAGAAGAAAAAAATAAGAAGAAAAAGGCTGTAGGCAAAACGCAGCTGGTCACCAAGGCATTGGAAGGGATGTTATCAGAAGAAAAATCCTCACTGCGTGACAAGACAGATCTCTCTGGTAGATCAGTCATTTTTCATAAGATAAAAGAATCTTCATATACTGAACCAAAGGCAAGATTTGAACATGATCTCAATCATATTAAGACATCATTAAGTAAACTACTCTCAGATACAATTTCAGGAGTTAGTATTTGTAAGCTTTATAGAATAGGAAAAAAGGTGGATTCCGAAAGTCCTCCGAAAAACCGCCTCCTAAAGGTTACATTCAACACGGTGAAAGAAAGGAACCTGATTCTAAGTAATTCACGTAAACTGATTGAATCTGGAATATATATCCGTGAGGATCTCAGCCTAACTGATCGTATTAAGAGAAGAGCTGCAGAGGCGGAAATAAACGAGCGTCGCCGAAACGGTGAACGAAACCTCGTTCTTAAGGGCTTTCAGATTGTAAAAGTTCGGAGCAAAACGATCCCCAAGCCACTCTGGATGGCAAGGGAAAGCTCTCCACAGACTTAAAAGTGTGCTCGCAGCCTACTAAATAAAATGGCGGAGCTGAAGTCAGTGGTGGATAAAGAAAAGCCGGACGTTATCGCTGTCTCGGAAACTTGGTTAACGTCAGAAGTATTAGATAGTGAAATCCAATTGACTGGTTTCATAACCAGTAGGGCTGATAGATTAAGCCGAAGGGGAGGCGGGGTTATTGTGTACACGAAAAGTACCCTAACCATAAGATTAGCTGAGACAGTAGCACATGTTTCAGGGACATGTGAACTGGTGAGATGTAAGTTGAAATGTCGAAGGCAAGATATTGAAGTAGTTGTAGCTTATCGCAGTCCAGAATGTGTAGCAGATGATTTTCTCCTAAGTGAACTTAAGTCCTGGTGTAACAACGGTAAAAGCCTTATAGTAGGCGACTTTAATGCACCATATATAAACTGGGTTAACTTAGAAGTAGGGTCATCCATATCGTCGTTCGATTGCAAACTGTTAGAAACCTCGATTGGACTAGCATTATTCCAACAAATTAGAGATCCCACAAGATACGACTTAAGAAAATCTTCTTCTCTTTTAGATTTAGTCTTCACACACGGTGATGACGTTGGTCAAATGGCTTTTCTCTCACCACTTGGAAGAAGCGACCATGCAGTCATCTTATTCAAATTCATGGCTGAAATTGCTTCTCAAACAATTGCGCCGGCCCGTTCTAACATATGGAAGGCAGATATGCAGGCAATTAACTCCGCAGCATCGGCTGAGAACTGGGAAATTGACTCAAAGGCATCAGTACAAGAGGCATGGACTCTATTCAGGCAGTTATACAATCGGGTAACTCAACCATACATACCCTGGACTGTCCCAAAGAAAAAGAAGCACAGACATCCCTGGATAGGGCGGGATATTCGACGCTTACTAAGACAAAAGAAGAAATGCTGGAATGTTGCCATCCGCCTTGGCACAGCAGGTACGATGGAACGCTACAGATCGATAAGAAACGAGTGTATAACTAAAATTCGGGAAGCGCAAAGAAAATATGAAATGCAGCTGGCAGAATCTGCACTCAAGCAGCCCAAGAGGATATTCTCGTACATAAACTACAGAACAAGGATTCATCATTGGATTCTCAACCTAATTAAAGTAGGAAGTGAATCTGAAGTGATAGAGGAAGATCAGGAAAAGCAGAGGTTATGTCTGACTATTTTGGGGCAGTTTTCACTCAGGAACCTCCTATAGAGAAAGAACCAGACCCAATTACAGAGTCAACAAACCAGCTGCTCACCGTGGACTTCGACCAAAACGATGTACTTAAGGCTCTTAGCACCCTAAACATGGAGAAGTCAACAGGACCAGATGAACTACACCCTAAAATCTTGAGACATATTGCCCAATATATCGCAGCCCCACTGACTGTGATATTCAAAATGTCACTTGACCAAGGTGTGTTACCTATGGACTGGAAGGACGCAATCATCACTCCCATACATAAAACAGGTCCACGACAAGTTCCATCGAATAACAGACCCGTAAGCCTCACCAGTGTTGTAATTGAAATACTGGAAAAAATAATCAAACGGACCATAACGGCATTTATGGAAACCAGTAACTCGCTGAACATGGCACAACATGGTTTTAGAAAGGGTCTATCCTGTACAACGAACCTCCTTATAGCTAGGGAGTTCTGGATTAATGCGCTAGACAACGGAAACTCAGTGGATGTTGTCTACATAGACTTCAGTAAGGCTTTTGACAAGGTGCCAACTAATAGACTGCTATTGAAGTTGGCAAACCTTGGTATTGCCGGACCTCTTTTAAAATGGATTAAGGATTTCCTAGTAGGTCGTAGGCAAAAAGCAAGAATAAATCCCAAGTGCTCCATCTGGAGACCAGTACTTAGTGGAGTACCCCAAGGTTCCGTCCTAGGTCCTTTACTTTTTATAATGTACGTTAATGATCTTACAAGTATAGTACAGTCTCCAATGTTATTATACGCTGACGATGTAAAAATTTGGCGAGTAATAACTGGAGACAAAGACACATTTACTCTTCAGGCGGACTTAAATAATATGATAAACTGGTCTAAAGAGTGGCTGATGCCTACCAACTCGGAAAAGTGTGTCTACATGCACTTGGGGGATTCAAAGGTTAATACGTACAACATAGGGGATGTGTCATTACCCGTAGTCCGGTCTCATAAGGACCTAGGCGTGACAGTGAGCAATGATCTTAAGACGACGGCCCATTGCCGGGAGGTCGCAGTTAAGGGGTTTCGAACCCTCTGGGCTTTAAAACGGACATTCACTAAGTTAGATACTACCATGTTCACCACAGTATACACATCCTTAGTGAGAACCAAGTTAGAGAACTGTGTTCAGGCTGCAAGCCCCTGTTTAAAAGGTGACTCAGACATACTAGAAAACGTACAGAGGGCAGCTACGCGTGTAATGCCGGAACTCCGGGGTTTATCATATAAAGAGCGGCTTGAAAAACTGAACCTCTTTACTCTGTCCTATCGCAGAATAAGGTGAGATCTAATCTTGATGTACAGAATACTGAGAAATGATTTCGGACCTAACTTATTCTCTCTCTTTCGTCCCACTAGATCGGGACACCTCAGAGGACATAGCAGGCGAGTAGAAAAGCCAAGAACGAACAAAATACCCGTGGCATACAGATTTTCACACCGAGTCATCAATACTTGGAACCTGCTGCCTGAAGCAGTGGTGTCCGCACCTTCAATTGACTCTTTCAAGAGAAGACTGGACACTCACAGAAGCATACTAGAAAAGGAATAACATAGGCCGTAGGCCTTCTGTCCTTACTACACAAATCTGAATCTCATTCGGGCGTTTCGGGTTTTTCCGGATTGTGCGCTACATTTCCTTTTTCAGATTGTCCGTTTGAATTACGTTGAGTTTGAACTTAGTTGGCTGACTGGATTGTGCTGAAAACCATAAACATCTATCTCAACATTGAGAAACAAATGCAAAGGAAATAATCGGTTCATATTAGCCCCACATAGAGTGTATATTGTAATACACTCTTGTAACTCGTTCCTGTTTGTCTGTCAAGCCTACATGCTTCAACCAAAAGCATTTGGTTTTGTGTAGTTCACATCAATATTGTATAAAAATCCACGGTTGTCGTCCTGCTCAACTTTTCGCTACAGAAGGTCTCATTATTGTCTCCGTTGTTCACTAATAATTGTTAACACACTCATGGTCGATCGTAACCGTTTCGAAATTTTGGAAGAAAACATCGAAAGTATTATTGATCATTGTAGAGAGGCTGGAATTGTTGTTTGTGACTATCAACCAAGTGTGTCGTTTCAGAAAAAGATCAATGATCTAGTGTATAAATTACAGGTACTGTTGATTTTAATATTCTTGACGGTAAATCTTAATGTTTACTCAGTCAAATACCATATTTTTTTACTTAGTTAAGCAGTCAACCGCCTGACTCGTTAGGAATAAATAATGTGTCCTTAACTGTTTTTTGCAATGTTATTCATTCACCATGTAGTTCGCTAAATTATGCAAGTTTCCTTATTAAGTTGGTATATCATGCACCACTTAGTTCACATTTTGAGTTTCGTCTGCGGTTATTCCCTATGTAGGCGGTTTTGAATACTTTGTTAATGATAAGTAATGTAATTGGGATTTTCATTGATCATATGCAAATTCCGTGGACTTTTAGTTAGAGTCCTTAATCACTCAGTGTAAATTATGTATTCAAAAAATATCTTTATTATCATTCCATTTATTTGGCTCACCATTTTTCTCACAACCACAGAATCATATGTGTCTTTAAACCTTATTTTAGAGTTCGTTTAGCATTATTCTCTCCATTAACATCCACTTTCCTCTTGAAAATATGTGAGCCATTTAAGTGTTTAATCGCACTGTTATCTATTATATATAGCACAGTCTACGAAACTTCCACTATTTCACTTTGAAATTTAACCAGTCACTTAGGAAAGCACACAGTTCTTAAACTAGCTGATATTTCTGTTCATCAAACTTCCAAAACTGGGACACGACTGTTACTGATATTAGGGGTTAGCCCATCAGCACTTGTTGTTCTCATTCACTTTAGTTATGGCTTCTATCTCTTTATGAGTCGGGGTACTTATTTTGACGTCCCATTCAGGTTGTTTGGTGAAAATTGATCATTGAGTGGTAGCTAGAGAGCAGTTAAACGGTCCGAAGTGTTCTGTTCATTGTTCCGGCTTCTTGTGTTGAAAGTGGGTCATTTTCCCATCTTTTTCTAAACTAGTCTCACTAACTCCAAAATATTTATTACCTGTTTCTTTGATAATTTCCAAAACGTGTCTACTATTACCTATTCCATCACTTTTGGTTTAGTTGCTCACCACTCCTCATGACCATCTCATAGAATTTTTGTCAGTCTACATCTATTTGCTCTTCATCGCGTTTTAAGCCATCTACCATTTCAGCGGACGCTACCGAAATCCACTGGTTTCCTAACCTTGCGGTGTATGTTACTGGTATACATCACTGCTGCTTCCACAGCTGTTTGAATATCGTGCCGAGCTACATCTGGGAGGATACCACTTACATGGTTGACTCACTGCTTCTCTAGTTGTTCTTGAAATATATTGCTAACTTTTTCATCATTAATCTAAACTCCAAAGGGTCTTCTTATTGTGACTTTTGTGCGTCCAGCAAAACGCAGACAAACAGGTGCTTGCATTAGAGCATTGAAATCTAAAATTCAACCTAACTCATCTTTCAGATATGTGGATATAAACCACACTAAGTATGAGGGCTAATGATATTACTTGATTATTCAAACCGAAGTAGAGCAGGGTTAGACATTCGAATGCCCAAACCATTAATCTACCTCAATAGAGCTTGATAAGAGTCTAACGGTGTGCTCCAGAATAAGCTGCAGTCTCCTATCAAGCCTCCGACGATATCTAAAGACAGTGCAGTCTATTGGCATTCATCGTTAGATCGATTGTGGGAGTCGTCATGTCAATACCTTTTTTATACCTGATGGTCGCTAGAAACGGTTATCCAAGAATGGTTGCAGCAACCAGTCTTTACTATCTATTCTCTGAGCCGCGACACCATAGGATTCACCTTAGTATCTTTTAGTTTGGTTTAAACTACCTATTTGAGCATTAAATGCACCTGCCATTATTATCACATCTGAACATTTACCTTTTTGAAGATTTATATGAAATTCATCCTTTATTTCATCAAAACTCCAATCAACGAGTGCATAGGGATACATAAGTGATTGTCTATCGGAATGCAGTCCAGGAGAGTTTGTTTTGCTTTTGAATTTAATGCCATCCATCGTAATTAAAATAGCTCATTGGAAAGTATGACCAAATCGTTTTCATGGCTAATCCGTTGCTTAGATATCCATGCCTCCTTAAAATATTTTATTAGGCCATTTATTCTTGACATCAATAAAAAATTGAACGAGATAAAGCAATGGGACTGGTTGACACTTAACAGTTTTGTATACATATTTTGCGACCGCATACAAAACGTGTTAAAGTTTTCTTCCTAATAAGATCACGGACATTACTATCCGAATTGTAATTTCGTTTCTAGTGGTGGTACAATCTATGACTTTAAAGACCATTCTCAAAAAAGTTAATGTTATGTCAAACTATGGATAACAACACTTGTGTCATGATAAAGTGTAGTGTTCAAGTATTAATGAGTAAATTTCCTCATACCGTTTATGTCATACACCTGGTATTCTGTACATGAATTTTAGAGCTAGAAATATAACGGAGTATTATCATAACTTAATTAGTAAACGTTTGGTTTTATTAACAAGATTTTTCATATTGGATACAGCCAGCTTCAAACTGCTACTTGCTTACAGCTCTAAAATGACGTTTCGTTTTTTCCTTTTGCAATGTAAAAAAAATGTATAGTATTTCGGGGGATTTATATTTGCATGCATCAACACCATAGTCAAAGCCATCTATCCTCAATTAATCCTCTCTAAAACTGATACAAGTACAATAACCAGTCATTGGATAAAATCTCTTGTCGAACTGTATTATCTGTGATGTTAACCGAATTTTGTTTTTCAAATTTTCAACTTGTTGTTTCTCTTATGATGGCATCATAGTGCTCATTTGTCGTTGTTCAGAGATAGATATATTAATTATAAGACTCTCTAACTGCAGTTTGTGATATTTGAGTGTTTTATACTAAGTTATCCCATTAAAATATTCAAAAATATTGATCTTATTACACCACATTAGAAAAACATTTGTTTCGTAATTAACACTGCGTAATGATTTTGACTAGACAACTACTTAAAACCAAGGAGCACTGGACGTGTTTTTCGTCCTAGTATAAGACTCAGAAATTCATATCCACGACCTCCTCAAAAATAGAGCTTTTTAAACTATCAAAGTGAAATGTTTCGCGTCATAACAGTTATCAGTTTCTTGTATTTGTCCTTGTAAAATTCCGGAGAAGTGAACTGAATGGAAGTTAAATGAGACTGCTAAAAATTAACTGTCATTTTTTAGAATTTACTGTAAATTTATGTTTGTGTGATTTTCACACTCTGCTTACTTTTTAAAGGATGTGGATCGTATGCAAGTTGAAATGCAAGATGTACATGTTCCTATTGAATTATTTTCCAAAATCGATGCTGGTCAAAACCCTCAGTTGTACACTCGTGAGTGCATGGAACAAGCACTAGCCAAGAATGAGGCAGTCCGTGGAAAATTAGACAGCCTTCGTCGTTTCCGAATGTTACTTATGTCCGAATTGTCTCGTCAATTTCCAAATGAAATGGCTAAATATCGAGCTGTACGTGGTGATCCTGAAGCTCCGACACTTGGTCCTGCAATGTCCAGTAACTCTCAATCAAATGGATCTGGTACTGAGACTGGTCCAGAATCCGTTTCACTTAGATAGATACTTTCAGTATGTTTTGTTCTCAACAAGCATATGCTTTCTGGAAATTGTTTTCATGATTATCGTGATAAAGTGTTTTCTTGTATATATTCTCTAAAAATTTGTTTGGTTGTCAATATGACTAGTAATGAGTTTGTTGATCGAATAATTTTTTTCTAGTCTAAAATATTACAGAATACCACATTTGTATAGGAAGAAAATATTTTGAGGCTTACTATTGTTTAGAGGTGAAAGGCAAGATTTCAAGTAGGAATTACCAAGAAACACTGCTGATAGACTGATATCCATATTTGTAACAAATATTTTGTTATTTTTGCTTCATTTGATAAAGCAACCAAACTACTTAATATCCTCTTTTTATGTACTATTTGCTATAACTTGTAAACCTGTGTGCCCTGTTTATTGGATAACGCAACGATGCCGCCAGTCAGAGAGCAGTGAATTATCGACCGAACCAGTGACGCATAAAACACGTGCGAGCAGCCTAGAGCCCTGATTGGCCCTACTTCCTGTCTAGCCCAGCCAGTTAAGTCCAGAACGCCAATCTCAGCCTCTGCAATATGAATCGTTTATTTCAAACATACGGGGTTTATATACCAATCAAACAGTCCACAACGTACCATAAAATAGAAACTAACATTTGTACAGTATTTGGCCAAAAGTGGCTGTGAATGGGGGAGGTAGTGATTAACAGGTAGGGAATAAGTCAAGAATGGTAAATCGTATAATAATAGTTCATAGGTCGAAATAAAACTTATAATAAAAGGGACATGAATATGAACAGTTTAGTTACATGACAATTACACGATAAAAATATACTCATAGTATCGGTCCATAAATGGATCCCAAAAATTACCATCCATTATTCTTACCGGGAGATAACACTATTACATCTTCACTCTGCTTTAATGGTGTCTCTTCATAAAATACTTTTTTATAAAGCCTTTTGTACATATACAGACAGAGGTTATTAATTAACTTGAAGTTATTTCCACCTTCCATGATGGTCATCAAGATATAGCTATGCACAAAGTTCAAAATGTTGACATTTTTAACATTGGAGAATATTAGATGTTAGCTAAAAACTCATAACATATATGTTCGTTTGTTCCAGTCAGTAACTGAACAAACCTAATTATCACCTAACTTCTATGTCTTTTTTTTACTTATCGTAGATATCAGTTTGTTTAGACTTAACAACTTCATTAAGACATGTTATATGTGTTTAAACACATAAATATTGGTACAAAGAGGCACCGAATTTAATGCGCCACACTTCATCATTCGACTTTTGCGAGGGTTTAAATTCTGCCCGGGCGCCCAGACCGAAGCAAGTGTTTTTCTTAGGGGGCCACTTCCCGAGCCTTTAACCTAAAGGCCTAATCTGCAAGGTAGCGGAGCGATGTTAGGAGATCCAGTCACATGGTAGCCGGTGACCAACAATAGGTTCATAGGCCATCTTTTGCTTCAGGGTCCTGGAGTCCATGTGAACTTTTGGTTCGGAGTTAAGGTTCTCCAACTCCCCTAGATGGACCCTCTATATCCACCAACCCTGTTGAAGCGCCGAACATTCGTTTTTCGCTCTTTGGATTTCACAAACAGCACATCAGCCGCGAGAAGGCAATGAGTAGGACTTCCCTAACAGTGACTATACGCGTGGCTATGTGAGAGCGTTTTGAGGAGAGTGGGTTCTCCCCATGCTCGACCGTACCAAGGATTTGGGGGCGAGCTAAAAATTTAATTTTAAAGGTGTTTTCAGGGCACCGGAATTAACTTGATTGGTTTGACAGAGATCGATGCAAATAAAGAGTCGGTTTGCAATGTTTTTATTATGCAGTCAGCATATGAATTCGTACTTTCAAAAGGCTCATACTACAGTAAACAGATAAACAAAATCAAAGCTTGTCAATATCTTAATAATAGATGTTGCTGTCATCAGTGCCTGAAGTCACTAACTTCTAGTCTGAGCCATGTTGGTAAATGCAGACTACTTGGTTGGGGTCCGCGTGACTATCGTAACCAATGGTTGGAGACTCTTGGTGACATGGCTCAGAATCGATCACAATGGCGTCGGTGTATACACTCCCCGTCTTCCCTTAAACTAAGAGATTAAAATCACTTCATATCTTTCTTTCTACGAACTAATTCTTTCTTCCTATACTATATCTTTATTGCAATCTTTCTCCTATATATTACCACCTTTGACCTAACCACTGCTATGAATCCGGTGTTCATCTTGTTGTGCTGATGCGGTATGGCAACCTGGACCGATGCACATATGTGCCTGGTCCTACGTTGTAGCTGACTGACTGACTGAGATGTTGCTGAAGTTTCCGATGTTAGTTCTTCACTATCTTGTTAACATCAACTCGTACTACATACATGTGTTGTGAAAATTGATCGACTGATATGTTTATTAATCTATAAAACGAAGTTTACGAAAGTCATTTTTAGCATACAAGCCATTAATTTTCACCGTTTATTACTATTAAGGTTCTTATTCTGAACGTTTAAATCGTTTTACAGTAGACAAAAGAATAGGTCAGGATTGTCTTTATAAGTGCATGAATACTTGAACAATCATTTATCCATGAATCACGGAGTTTTTAATGTAAAGCTAGTCTTAGGGTATTTTTTTGTCAATAACATTTATTTGTCATTTGTGATAATTCTTGTCCAATAATACACAGCGATAAAAAAGAAAGTACCTTGCTAAATTTTCCCAAAAAAACGCAAATGAAACACAATTACTTGTAATGATGGTCAGAAGGCCTTGATTCTTGAATAAATTTCGATCTTGCTTTTTTCGAGATCCTATTCGGTTTATGATTTCTTTGATTATTAGTTATAAAGGATTTTCGTTTAAATCTCAATACTACTTTCCCGGTGCTAATACACTTCATTAGTTGATTGTGACTCGAAGTGCGCTGTGTTTGTTAACTCACCTCACGTTCTCATCTACACCAACGACCATCTTTCAGACTACAACTGATTCTGTTCTCTTTTTTAAAACTTCTTTTCTCGATCAAACCCGACGTAGATCCTTCAGTGGTAATAGCAGAAATACTATACTTGGAATTACCCTTTTCAGAATAATAAATCTGTGGTGTTTGAACCCTCTTACTGTTAATTTTTTCGAAACATGGACATAACTATTCGATAAATCTATTTCATGTTTACTCTAGTATTATTACTTTACATGGTTATGATATTCAAACATACTTTATAGTGAGCTCAATAAGATTAATAAAATCCGTAGTAGATCAAACAAATTCAATGTGAAAGATCGAGATAGTCATTCAAATGGTGGTGCAAATGAGAAAATACGACCTAGGTCTACCTTAAATAAGTGAAACAAGCCGAACAAAACACTAACTTCAGGAGTTTTTACTTTATTATGGCTATGAAGAAGACAATGCTCGTTGCATGCAGAGTTAAATTAATGCCATGCAAAGAAGCGCGAAAGGCGTTTATAGGATACGGACAAACTGATGATGGCAACGAAAATGCTAGAGATCAATTTTATGAAAGTGTCTTTAGCCTATTGTAGAAAAATCCTCAGGAAAACACATGACCAACTTAATGGGGAACCTAAACGCCAGGGTCGAAATGGACATCACGGAGCATGAAAGCATCATTGCTCAAGGTGAATTAGGAGAAATAAGAGCAAAGAAATCGAATAAATGAGCTGAATATACAGGAGGAAACGGCTGTAAAAAGCACTAGAGGTAGGAAGCAAAAATATGTGGGAGACCTGGTAACTTCAGCAGAAAAATCTGTAAGAGAAGGAAGTATGAGAGAACTATTTAAAACGACTAGGAAGCTATCAAGAAAACGTAGTAGACCGGGGTGGTCGGTCAAGAACAGTGAAGGTAAGACGATCGCCGAGATTCGAAAGCGGCGGAAAAGGTGGGTAGAACACCCTGAAGAGCTGTTGAATAGGCCAGCGCTGTTGAAACCAACGAACATCAAAAGAGCTCACAAAGACCTCATAGATTCTGAAGTACAACACGACGAACGCCAACCAAGTCACACCTGATGGTGAAGCTATGAAAGAGGTGGAACCTTCACATATCTGGGCAACATCGTTGATAATCAAAAAATATCTGGTTCAGATGTAGAGTGACAAATTGGCAGGACGAGGTCAACATCTCTATAATTAAGTGATATCTGGAACATAAAATAGCCCTCACGCAAGACCAAATTCAGAATTTCCAACACAGACGTTAAAAGTGCGGAGATTAGGAAAAGACACTAGGATTGATAGTACACACCGAGGAAACCAATAAATTGTGTCACGAGGTAAGTCCTTGTAAAGTATGATCGATAAACGAACCCACCAATGACAACAGGAAACGACCACTATAACATTAACTTTCTTTGACCTTGTATGACTATGCTTTGCTTATTCACCAACCATAGTTTTATGTTTATATTGAACGATATTAAGTTCGTTGACTCATTTTTCTATCTTCTAGTTACTGTTCAATATGTTATTCATGTCTTTCTTTTTCCCTGTTTAATAGACTGTAATAATTGTTTATTCCGTGTGCTAACAGTGTTAGTTTACGTTTTAGGAACAGTTTATTGAGCCAAATAGATAACTTGTTCTGACTTTGGCTAAGCTAATACTCTGTGCTCGACAGTCTAGAGAGTAGTTTGGAATTAAATCCTACAGTCCTAACTTGGAATCCTCCGAACAAAAGACAAGGAGGCAGACCAAAGAACACATGATATCGAGAATTGTAGACCGAAATCAAGACCATGAATAGCACCGACAACAAGTAGAAAGGAGAACTCAGGACAGGTTTGGTCGGAGATCTCCGGTTGGAGTGTTCTTTAAACTGTAGCTGTATCTTTTGTTAGACGGAAATCAGCTATAATGTAATTCTACTTACTAGTAATCAGAGTGACTACCTATAAAAACAGTTTCCTCTTCTGCTGATAATTCAGAGGTAAGAGCCGTATGTTGACTTGATGATCTTTCGGATTCGTCATAA